CTCTATATTTCATTTTAACAAGTTTTTCTCTAGATTATTTTATTATTTTTCTACATTGAAAATTGAAACATTTTGAATGCATTGAATTATAGAGAGAGTTTAACTCTCCAAAATGTTAAATTAAAGAGTCTTTTTTATCATAATTTTAAGGATCGACTCTTTAAAATAGAGACAATCTCATATTTATAGAGTTTCTTGGAGATACTCTAAAGCATATTAAATAAATAACCAACTATTTAAGAACTTTTCTGCCTGACATGAAGAGAACGAAATATAGTGACAACGACATGAAAATATAAAAGAAAGATAAGGAGTAAATTGTGTGTTGCAAATTTCCCATCACTGATAGTATACTGCCAAAAGTTGCAACTCCACGTGGGGGATTGCACTTCTTGTAGAACCCCAAATAATTTTAAACACCTTAGTGGCACTAAGACATGAATATTGGATTGCTAAAGTATACTTCAAATTTTTAGTCTCATTTGAGACTCATTTACGACATAGAAAACATTCGATTTGGAAAATGATATCTAAAGAAAAGTTGTAGCTCTTTGAGTTAGTTTTCCAACGCACTTTGAATTACCTCAATCGGATATCAGGAGAAGAAGTTATGATAGAAATACTAAAGGCTGTACAGTATCAATCGAAGTACGCGAAATATGAAAAGTCAAATTCCTACACGATTTTCTAGCACCTTCTTAAACCTATAACTCCCACATAAATAGCACCCGTATTAATGAGTATTAGGCCCTTCACTTACCCCTAAATTGTGAGATTTTCACCTATAAATAGCCCCAATGTATACACATTTTTCACACCAAGACAAAAGCTTCTAAGCATAAAAGAGAAAGTTTTCAAATCTAAAAAAAAGAGAAAGGAGATGAAGGAAAATTAGTTTTTCCTAGAAGTTTTGGTGCTATCAAAAAGTTTTTTCCAAGCATCAATTCTCAAAAGAGTATTTTTTTTTTTTTGAAACATCAAAGGAGTGCATTTTTCAACAAAGTTCAAAGCATCAATCAAGATAGGTAGAGGTGCAAAGTGTTAATTCGTGTTAAGTTATAAGTTTCTAGCAAATGAAAATTTATGTTAATGTTTGTATGTCTAATGGTACCTCCGGTACGGCATACACCTCCATGTCTAATGGTACCTCCGGGTACGGCATGTACTTCCGGTCGAGGTATCGTGTTAAGTCATGACTCTGTGTTTGGGATTCTACCGAAAATCCTACTATGAAAAGGTTTCTAAAGTTACAGTTTTGAAATGTATAGCTTGATCACGAATGCACCAATGATATCTATTGAGTTTTTTCAACTCACGGGTTTAACCCCTTCTCTACAGATTGATATGATTCTACCTTGGGCCTGGATGATGGAAAAGATGGAGAGTGGTGCAACGAGCCCATGGAAAAACCCGGTGAACAAGTTATTTAGATTTATTTTTGTGAACGTTTTCAATGTTATTTCTTTAAAGTATTTGAATGACGCTGAATGCGAGAACAAGTTGTGTTTTCTTCAAATAAATTACGTTCCATTATTTTTTTATTCAGTATTTTATTTAAAGTATTCGAAAGGTTGTTGTTAAAACTATCATTGTAAAAATTAAGTTTCCACTAAAACATATTCTCCTATGACTAAACCACCGGTTAGTTAAGTTAAGTAAATAGCGTTCCGGTCCACAAGGGGTTGGGGCATTACACTTCTTCTCCTCTAATCTCCAACTATTTATACTTTAGTTATTTAGGTTTCGATTGTGTTTAAACCAAGCTGATGCTGGTCAGGAAAATTCCCATAAAAGAAAGATCAATATGTGCATGCATCAGGTGCCCACTTAAGGCGTAAGATTTGAGGTTACTACCGATAACTCACACTTGGTATGCCTCAGGGTGCTTGTGTGAAAAGACTAGTTAACATATGAAAAACTAGTTGTTTAACTTGCAATATAATGTTGCACCTCATAAATAATCACAAGAAGATCTAATCAGTAACAAATAAAACATCGAATCAGAAGAGGTCGTACCTTTCTCCTAGTCTTTGGCCCTGTATGGCCAACAAACTCGCCAACCAAATCTGTTCTCTGCACTTCAGTTACCTTGTCCGTAGCAAGAATCCCCACCATGTGAAGTAATTTTCCAAGGATCCGAGCAACCATGGTCTTACCTGTAAATAAATTGAAAAATAAAATAAAATGAGAAAGCACACCATAAAATCAAGAGAAATCCCAAACTATCTCAGTGTGGGTACTGCTGAAAATTCACTAAAAATAAGAAAATGATCAAAAGTTAATGATTTCCAAAATTGAAGCCACATCGAAAGTTACGCTACATGAATGTCTTTGAACTAAAACTTATGAGATTTTAGCAAGAATTTATACTACAAGGACAGTATACCTGTTCCTGGATTTCCAAGAAAGGCCATGTGAGGAGGTCTTCGGGGTCCAACTTTCAGGCCAAGGGCACGGCGTCTCTCATCTAAGAGCATCCCTTTTGCCCATTTCCTAAGTTGTAACTTAAGTGAATGTAAGCCCACAATGCTTGCTAATTCATTTTCAAGCGCATCCATCTTGGCTTTCGTCTCACTACATGCTTCAATAGCTCTACGTTTCCGCTGCTCTTCAAGATGCCTATGGAGTAGTTTCTGCAATTTCTCGCTTCCTTGACCTTGAGAGAGATGATTTAGAGGAGTCATGCCCTCCTGAATTTCGAATGATATATAATTAACAGCAATAAAGAAAGTACATGTAAGAGCAGTTAAAAAAAAAAAATTAGTAAATTAAAACAAATGGTACAAACTATACATTGTCTTCAGCACTGCCATCAGCATCAGACTCTAACAATGTTTTGACAGCTGAGTAGTCTTCAGATCGAAGTGAGTGCCAGACAGCCAGATGCAAAGGAGTCATCCCATTCTGCCAGAAAGATTCCCAAATAAAATCAGTTAAGACACCTTTATAAGAAAGTCACATGCAAACTTTAATTAATATTGAAGCTGAAAACAAACATAAGAAGCAAAAGACTTACATTTGCTTTGGATTCAACAAAAGCACCACGAGCTAGAAGCATCTTTACAGCTTCATTACACCCGTTCTTAGCAGCCATATGCAATGGAGTCTCTCCATACTGCCAATTTTAGTACAATGCAACTATATAATGAGATCACAGGAATGGATTAATTTTATTCTGAAAGAGTAAAACAGCCATGCATATTAGTCTATTACAAAGGAAAAACTTACACACCATGTTCTTGGCCTCCAATTCGACCTTTTCAGCTCCTGGCCAATCAAGAAGAAATTGCATTATCTCAACATTATTGTAACCAGCGGAAACATGGAGTGGTGTCTGTGCCATCTGTATCATAACACATTGGGAGAATATCCCATCCAAATTGAGCAATTAGTTTGTGTTGAAAACTTCATATATGTAAACAAATAAAACTGCATTTTGTAGGCAATTCTCACCAAGTATAGTACCCAGAGAAAAACATATATTTTGGAAATTATCATATGCCATTTGCCATGATTGTCTTTTCATGACAATAGAAGCTTCCACTAAGAGAAACAAAATAAATGCAACCCCAATTCTACTTGCGCAAGAGGAAACTATATATCAAAGCCAAAGATTGCGATTGCATTTTGTAAAATTATTATTCATGCAAGATCGTATACATGTAAAGGACACCAAATATCAAACCTTTACTGCGGCAAAATAAAATTAAATGAAGTTCTGGAATGCTACAGAAATTCTGTGTCATTGGAAGATTCCTATCAGATTAAAATGTGGCCTTGCAAAACAGAGATTAGACTAGCTATTGATTGTTGGTCTTAAAAAACAAGAAGTTCAAGAGATGAACTTTGTAGAATTAAGGATGCTAACATAGATACAGGTCATAGTAGAAGGAACAAGATAAGATATGAGAATATACACTAACAAATAGAAGTGGCACCAACTAAGAAAAAGTGGAGGCGACACTTGATGAGAATAAATTAAGGACATTTTGACTTAGGTGACCGAGCCTTCTCTGATCGAACACGTTTAAAGAGGGACAGGCAAACAAAAACCAACAGGCCCATTGTAGTTACTGAGAATCTTCAACTGGGTATAGCAATGAAGAGCACAGGGTCACAATTTGAAGTAATTATACCAAATTTATAAGGAACAAAACTTCAATTGATGTCGCAAGTAATGGGCAAGAGGTAAGGCGGAGAAATGGCTCAGTGAATAACTAAATAATGAAGGTCGAAGAAAGAACTCATATTGTAAAGGTT